AGACTCTTGGGCATGGTTCTTTAATCTGCTAGTTCGTAACTTGGGAGGGCCAGAATTTTGTAAACATGTTACATTTATTTCAGATCAGCAGAAGGTAACAAACAAATCCTTCATGTTTTTAATATGTAACATTTATGTTCTTCATAATTTTAAATTGTAACATATATGTCCTGCATAATTTTAATTTGTAACATAAATTTCATGTATGCATTGCTACAGAGTGTGATAAATATGTAACACATACACGTCCTTCATGATTTTAAATTGTAACATATATGTCCTGCATGATTTTAATTTGTAACATAAATGCCATGTATGCATTGCTATAGAGTGTGATAAGTGTGATAAATATGTAACATACATGTCCTTCATGATTTTAAATTGTAACATGTATGTTGTAATACCCTAAAATTTTCCCTTAAATTAGTCGGTTCATTTTGCATTTCATCTCGTTCTGCATTGCATTGTAGCTAACGCTAACCGATTTGCCCAGTCTGTTGGTTTTTGAAGGAAAAATCACTCTGTGTGCGATTTAATTGGTGAAGGAAAAAATGGTCATTAATTTGCAGCCTTCCGACAATTCATGAAGCCAAGTCGTCATCAGGGGTTCCTCAAGTGATTAGGGTGTCCATCTCCGAGTCCCGTGATTTATTTGAGGATAAGCTGAATTTTACGGTAGTTTTGACGTCAGATTTCTCGTGACACAGTACATCTTATTCAAGAGCCGAAATTTAGTCGTCAGTTGGTTTTCAGAAATGTTGTTGATTCCTAAACCATATGGAGCTGACTGTGTTGCAATACCAGTGGATTCGGGTTAAACCAGTGCGAGAATTTGCTTTGCAGGATTTATTATGACGGATATACGTTTTCCTGTGTTCTGCTGGTCAACGGTCGGGTTTTAAAGGAACAACGAAATTTCGGTGTGCATCGAATTTATAATGAATATCTGTTTGTTTTGGGTCATAACTATTAGTTGAGGTGATTCAGGTTATCAAGTTAAAGCTGTCAAGATGCGTTTTGAATTTTCAATACAAAAGACAGTCGTTCTGCCGTTTAACTGAAATTTTGCTGCTTATTTGTTCAAGGCTAAGTTCACCGACTTTATCATCAGTTATGAATTAATTTGCAAAGGGATTAGTCGAGCTTAGCAGTTAAGGAGAATTTAAATTGGGCAAGTTGATCAATTGTCAAAATTTGGAGGTTGGAACGTCACAGTTTAATCGGACAATGTTCATCAAATAAATTTAATTAACTAAATTTATTTGATGAATTCAATCAAAGGAGTTTAACCAGATGAAGTATTCAAATTTATTTATTTGGGTGAGTTTAACCGGATGAATTATGTCGGATAAATGGAATCAGTTGAATTTATTTGTATGGATTTAAGCAGATGATTTTTTATTTGGATGAATTTAGTTGGACGCTTTCATTTGGACAAATGTACTTGGAGAAGTTAATCGGATAAATTAAATTTATTCGTTTGAGTTAAGCGGATGAATTACTTGAGAGTTTATTTGGAAATTTAATCGGAGAATTGGATTGGATAAAATAATAAAATTGAATTTATTCATTTAAATTCTATTTTTATTACAATATTACAAGAATAGTTCCAATTACAAGATTAATTACAAAATAAATCATTAATTCCTAAAAATTCCTAATTGTCCTAAAATCATCTTCGCGTTCGATTCCTCGACTTTATTGTTCCCAAACCTGCGCAAAAAATCGACAACCGAGAAAATAATTTTAAGTGGTTAGAAAAATGGTTTTTTGGTTGTAATCCGATACCCTCAATTTAATTTCATCATCGGGTACGTCGGGAGGGCAACGACGAAGTCGAAGTCGACTCCCGACTTATTTTCCGACCTCGACACAAGACTGGCAATATCTGTTCAATTCAAGCCGAGAGAGAGAGAGAGTGATTATTCGAAAAAGTGCTTCTGGAAAAAGTGATTATTTCAAAAAAATGATTTTTTTCTGATTGGCCAAACAAGTCACTAACAACCTGTCCGTCCCAATATTTTCTGAAGCCAATGGATCAAACACAAACCACGCAAAAAAACCAACAACTTTCCAAATCCTGAAAATTCCAACAACATTTCCGCAGCAACAATAACAAATATGAAAAATAGCCTGCAAAATCGCAACCAAGCAACAATTCCTGCTCCAAAAACGCAAGGATCCAGACCCAGAAATTAAAACCACAACAATATAAGAACAGTTCGTCATCATCTTCAAGAGGGGGCCGTTCATCAGAAACAGAGAGGAAGTTCATGAACCCTAAAAAGATAAAAAAACCGCAGCTGTAACAAAGAGCAAAACCTGAAATCACCATCAAAACTACACCCGGACTCAGAAGCTCCATGATTGTCCGTCAAAATCATCACGCCCACGACCAAAATTCGTCATCAGACTACCGTAAGAGTAATTGTTTTAACCTCTGTTTATCTTTTTTAGTGTGCAGAAAATGAAAGAAGAAGAGGTTATTTGGTTAAAACGGAAGGAAAACGAGAGAGAGAAGGTGAATCCATGGTGGAAGACAAAGCGCCGCCGCTGGGAGCAATAGGAAGAAAATGGTTAACAAAAAACCCTAGATTGCTCAGCAATCCGTTCCCCTCCCCTTTTATCTCACTTTCATTTTTTTTTTATCTTTTTATTTGTCTTTTTTTATATTATCATTATTATTATTTCAATTTTTATGATGTAATAAGCTCGTAAAGCCTTTTTATTTTTATTTTTTTTCCTTCTAGCTTTTAAGATTTAGTTAACATTAAAACAATTTTCTTAATTAAGACTTTTCTTGAATTAATTTTTTTTTAAAGATTAAAGCATATTTTAAAATTAAACCATTTTTAAGATAAAAAAAAACACAAATCCAAAATTAAAACACTTTTTTTTTAACGTAAACTAAACCATTTTTTTATGCGTACGATTAAAATCACTCTTTTTGGGCTAAAACATATTAAAAAAATTGAAATGCATTTTTTAATTAAAACATTTAGAACTTCTTTTAAAATTAACTTTTAAAACTCACTCTTTTTTTTTTATAAAATTTAATAATTCTAATCTTTTTTTAAATAAATATAACCCTTTTTTTAACAAAAAATTATTTTAGCCTAAACTTCTGACGTTTCGCTAACCGTCACTTAAAATTCTAAAATAAAATTTTTTTTTAACCTTCTCATTTAACTTTCGTCGGACTGTCATTTAATTCTGATTTGTCTCTGTTTACTAACCCGTAATCTTTTTTTGTATTCCAATTTTTTTGGTGTAATTATGCGAGGACATCGTCGCTTTCTATATCGTTATTATTTTTGCATTTTGTTTATGGTTTGTAATTTATGCGAGTATATCGTCGCTGCGCATTTCCTTTACTGTTTTTGTACTTTTCTGTATTTTCATTCTGCCACGTAATTAACTTATCATTTGCATCATTTGCCATTAATTTTCCCTTCTGAAGGATTAGGTCTAGCCGTTTGACCGCCGAGTCAATAGTCCTCTCCTTTGACCATTTCCTAACCCTAATTGCCTAGGTGTCCGCCGTGGACTAAATCACTTTTACCTTAGCAGTAGGTTAAGGAGTCGTCGTACTCCGCTTTAGGTTTCCCGCCGTGAAATGCCTAATTTCACCCTTTTTCAATACAATTCAATTTGAACGTAGAAATAGGAGTCGCCGCACTCCACGTAATTGCTTCCATATGAACGCTTATTCCCCATTGAAACCTTGGCCATAGTCAAGAAGTTTCTAACCTCCCTTTCGAGGGGAACTACGGTTACTCTGATTCCATCCCCTACCTCGGATACATAGGCACAAAATGCGAATCTTGGCGAGTAAACTTAGGACTAACCCTTAGGTCTTTCTTTCACCTTCTAACCCTTAGTATATACCCTCAAACAAATAATTAAAGCAAAATAGTAGTATTAAACAAGAGGTTCTTGTAGAGTACTACAGAAGTTTAGGGTGCTCATACCATAAGTTTAACCAATCCCTTACCTAGATCTCTCCTCGCATTGTGTTTACGATGCAAAAATTAGGTTTTTCCTTCCTTTGACCTTTCATTCAGATAAATCAAAGACCGGTTGTGAATTAAAGATTTGTGATTCAAATTAATTAATAATTTGATATCCTATTCTCACCGCAACATATGTCCTTCAGGATTTTAAACTATAACAAAATTTGTTTAATTTATGATTAAGGGTTGTTACCTGCAATAGAGGAGTTGACCAGAGATTTTGTGTTAGACACCTTTATATCAACTTCAAAAAAAGGTTCCCAGACAAACAGTTGAAGGACTTGATGTGAAGGGAAGCCAAGACAACATATCCTCAAGCATGGGAAAGGGAAATGAAGGAAGTGAGGAAGGTTAATGAGGAGGCATACAAACACTTGTTGAAGATTCCCCCTAGATATTGACGTAAGTCTATGTTCAAATACAATACAAAAAGTGATGTGTTGGTGAACAATATGTTTGAAATTTTTAATAGTGTTATAATTGGACCATCATCCTGCAGTAAGTTTGAAACTTTCAGAAATTTAAAAAAGAATGAGACAAATGACAAATCAATTACCGTCAATGACACATCATCGTTGTTAAATATCACTTCATCTTCGTTTTGACACATAGACATTTTTGAAACAAAAATTCTAAAAAAATTAACGATACAAACGTTACTTAACATAAATAAAAAAATAATTACAAAAAAAATTTAAAAGACTAACTTATTATTTTAAAATTACTTAAAAGATCTTAATATTTTTAATAAGTTTAGGAATTGACTATGCATAGAATTTGGTTTTTCTTTTACGTGTGAATTTAATCATTTTTACCATCGTAAAAATATCGAAATCTATCATTTAATTAAAATTTTTCCCGTGGAAAATATATTATACACCGTTAATTGCAAAGAATACTGTTCAACTATTATCGTCTTCGTTGCTCGCAAAATAGCCATCACCAAAGCAACAGCTGTAGGAAGTGCGTGCAACTTCGAGCAGAGTCATGATCTCACAGTTCTTCGTCCTTTCACAGCGTGGCGATAACATCGTTTTCCGTGATTGTTAGTCTCTCTCTCTCTCTCTCTCTCTCTCTCTCTCTCTCTCTCTCTCTCTCTCTCTCTCTTAACTACTCCGTTCCATTGCGATTTTGTTTGTTTTCTTTACTTTTGGATCCGATTTCATTTGTTCGATCCAATATTTCTATCGATTTACGTTCAGCTATAGTGTTTCAGTTTTTCTTTCTGATCCGTATCAAGATTATCGATTCAAGTTTACGCATCCAGATCTTACTTTAATCGTATCTTGTTCGTGTGTTAATCACTAATAGCTAATTTTTCCATAGGAAGATCTTGAAAATGAACGTAATTTCCTTTGTAATGTATGAATGCTGAAATTTTGATGAGGTATACATGCTTTTAAATCTTGTTGCACGAGCTCAAACGAGTTGGAATTTGGAATATGTTTGTATATTCCTTTGAATTTTGAAATCTGTTTGTGGATATGGATTTCTAGAGAATCTTTAATTTGAACTGATAATTGGTGAGGTATGTGTTGGACGCATTAAGGTGAATGGAGTGGAGTGAAATTATCATAAGAACTCCAATAATATGAGAGTTCTTATATTAACTAATATTCGGATTTTATTGTAATGCTTGAAATTGAATCTTTGAGTGTCAAACTCCCGGTGGCTATTGTTACTTAATTGTCTTTATTACAGATCGTGGTGAGGTCCCGAAGGGAAGTTCAGAGATATTTTTCCGCAAAGTAAAATTTTGGGAAGATGGGGAACTGCAGGAGGCACCACCTGTCTTTGTAGGTATTATCTTTTTGAATCAGGAAGAGTATATATTAACATGATTTAGTCTTGAAATGAATATGTATATTTACAAATAATTGTATCGTCTTGTTTCCTTTGTATTACTATCACATAATGTGGTTTTTTTTTCATTGGAACATTAGCCATCTTAGAACAATTGAAATAAGTAAAGACTTTGCATAATACAATTGAAAATGTTGAAATCTAAAAAATGTTGCAAATCTGAAAAGGCAGAGGAAACAGAGAATCTAGACTGTTGGTACATTGAAAGATGAGTGGCTAGTCATGCTAATTATTATTATTGCTACGTCCTAACCTTCAATTTATTTAATACATGCAGAATATATGTTTGTATAACATAAAATGGATTTTATTGAAGCTGTAAATGTTTATTCTTGTTATGTCATTTGCAAATCTTCTTGTAGAATATGCTGATTTCTTTGGTGTTATGTTATTTGTTTGCTGGCAGAATGTAGACGGTGTAAATTACTTTCATGTGAAAGTTGTTGGCTTACTGTTTGTTGCAACTACAAGGATTAATATATCACCTTCCTTTGTATTTGAGCTTTTACAAAGAATTGCTCGTGTTATTAAAGATTACCTTGGGATTCTCAATGAAGACTCAATACGGAAAAATTTTGTCCTGGTGTACGAGTTACTTGATGAAGTTATTGTGAGCTTCCTCTCATATCCCATTTGATTATTTACTTCTATATAGCCAGTCTTATACTCAACTGTATTGTTTCTTCTTTTAATTAAATTATCTACTTTCTCATTTTCTCCTAGTTGACTCTCTTTTAATGGTATTTAAATCTACTCTTCATACTCACCATTGATTCTTGCTAGCAATACAAATTAGTCTTTTGGACTGTGAATATCTGTAACATCTGATAGGTTTTGAGAGATATACTATTAATATTTGTATGGAATTAAAATGGAAATGCAAACCATACTAAATTTCTGATAGATGTTGTTTCTGGTTCACTTTTATAACAAGAACAACAAATGCCTATTTGGTTTTTTTATTATGTTTTACCCCTGTCTTGACCCGAGATTTATAATCAATTAGCTATATTTCTAGAAAATTTACCTATGAGTGACCTAATGTCATTATTTGAGCAGGATTTCGGTTATGTGCAAACAACATCTACAGAATTGTTGAAGTCCTATATTTTCAATGAGCCGCTTGTGATTGATGCAGCACGATTGTCACCTCTTGGACCTGCTGCAATCTTTTCTGTATGATGTTTAAATCTTTTATTTCCTGCACTTAATAGCTTTTGCGGTTATGACTTGCATTTAAGGTATAATAATTTTTCGTTTTTGTTTCATGCAGCAGGGGTCAAAAAGAATGCCTGGAATAGCAGTTACAAAATCCGTTGTTGCAACAGAGCCTGGGGGTAGAAGGAGGGAGGAAATCTTTGTAGATATAATTGAGAAAATCAGCATTACTTTTAGCTCTAGTGTGAGTAACATACATATAATACGACTTTGAATTTTTTATTGGTCTATTTTTTCTTCATCTGTCCTGCTTATGGTTTCCAGGATTTTAACTGACAAAACAAAACTCTATCCAGAGGGACACAATATTAGAGATCATATTTAGTTCCTGACTCTTGAGTACTTGAAACTTATTTGAATTATCAAGTTTAATTAAAAGCCTATTTAGTTGCTGTTTGCCTTTTAAATAGCTAAACGGATTTGCTAAAATATAATGAGTAACTGTTGGATGTATTTTTTTTGTTATGCATAATAGTAGACCAGTGATGTTTATGATAGCGAATGTTAGGTGATGAAGTTCGGGCAAGAGCACAAGGTAAGTGATGCAAAATGAGAATGTCGTGGTTAATGAGTGGAGTGGACATCCACATACAAGAAAAGATGAGCTCGGGATTGAGTGTATATGGAGAGATTAAAAGTAACGTCCTTAGAGGAAAAGTTAACAGAATCTCTCTTACCCAAAATGGTTCATCCATGTGATGGAAAGATTGATTGATACCCTAATATGAAAAGTTTACTTAACGGAGATAGGCTAATAAATAGATGTGGATGAAGGCCAAGGAAAACTGTAAGAGAAGTCACTAAAACAGATGTAGATCTGAATACCTTTATATAACCTGTGTATTTGACAAGATGACGTTGTTTAATCCATGTAAATAGCTAGCACAACATGGTTTTTGTTTTTGTTGATTCCCATTTTAAAATGCTACCTAGTGTGTAAGCTTGGTTATTGAATGGCTAATTATTAGTATATATATTTACACCCTTGCCAGGATTTGAACCCTGTGCCATATATTTTGTTTGTCATTCTTAGTATTCTCCATGGCTCAGGGGTATATATTGACTTCTGAGATCGATGGCACCATACAAATGAAAAGCTATCTTACTGGCAATCCTGAAATTCGCTTGGCTCTTAATGAAGACCTTTCCATTGGAAGAGACGAAGGACCAGTTTCCGGTATCTTTTTTCAGTTTTGGTTTTTTAATGTCGTGTTCTCATTCCCAATCATGCTTAGGATTTAATTCTTCTACTTCAAGAAAGATAAAATAATTTTTTTTGGCTAGATATGATTAATTTATCTGCAGATTTTAAGTTGTACAAGTGTATACCATACTTAATCTAATGGATTTTGGTTAATGAGTTTTATATGATAACAATTTTTGCATATTCATAAAGTCTTTTCCATGTTTATTAAGAATCATGTCTCTTCTGTTCTTTATTATTGTTTTTGTATGTCTCATAGAGTTTCATACTGTTACTAGTATCCAAAACTTATTTTTGAATGTTTCTAGAGCAGGTTATAGGAGTTCCTCTGGAGGAGCAGTGATATTAGATGACTGCAATTTCCATGAATCTGTTCGTCTTGATACTTTTGATACGAACAGAACTTTATCCCTGGTGAGTACAGAAATAGTTTTTAAGATTAAAAAAAGTTCGACATACAAAAGTACTTCTTCAGCTTGCTCTCTTTTGATTATTATTGTAACAGTTAATTTGGATTGTAAATTTTTAGATACCGCCGGACGGTGAATTTCCGGTTATGAATTATCGTATGACCCAGGCATTTAAGCCTCCTTTCCATATCAATGCTTTGATTGAAGAGGCAGGGTCCCTTAAGGTGATATCTACTTTTCAATATTTATATTATTTTCCTTATTCTTTTGTTGTTTTCCTGAAAAATTGAAAGAGTAGCTGAGACATATTATCGTCATAGTTCCTTTTTATAAATTCTTCTGCCACATCTGTTGTAAAAGCTTATATAGATGTGTTACAATGTATCTAATTGGAACAAAATGTGTTAATTACAAGGATGTTGTATTCAAAATTTTCCTCTCTTGTGAGATCACTGTTCCCATATCCCCATTCTTAGGTCGGATATCTCCATTGCAACAAAAAAGAAATGAATTTACAATTTTCCAATGTTACATGTTATAGTATTAATCATTTTAAACTGGTTTTCAAATCTTAAAGTTGCTTTCATTTTACTCAATAACCCGAACACACTTGAATTTGATATTGCAGGCAGAAGTACTTCTTAAAGTAAGTGCCGAATTTGCCTCAAGTATAACAGCAAACACTATCAAAGTGCAGATGCCATTACCAAAATATACCACCAGGTATTATTATATACTTCTGTATCAGTTAGTATATGAAGAAAATAATCCCTCTAATCCCCCCAAAAAAATGACTAGAAAGTATATTTCACAATATTAATTAGAAACTTTGACTGAACTTGTTGATGCATTCACCAATTGAAGTCTTTGAAATATCAAGTCGTGGTTTTTCTTTTTATAGGCAAGTCCATAGAATACCTGATAGGTTTTGAACAAGAGTAGAGCTAGTTAGCTAGGTATAAACTTTGGATGGGATTGTTGACTAATTTTAAGAACTAAAGCATTTGGAAGAATTAATTATTTACTCTAATTAATGCAAAACAATTTTAAAAACGTCTCCACTGGTTATACTGAAAGAAATTTTGGACACTATTACTGTCAGTTAATGTGTATGACTAGACTCTAGAGATATTATCAAATCATTTGTTGTATTAGTTGTTTGTGATTGTTGTCTGACTCATGTGATGTGATTCACACCATTTAACTATACAAAGTCTGAACATCAGTTTAAAAGAGTTCAAAATCTAACAGCTTGTGATATTAGGTAATGGCCCATTAATAATCTTACACATAACATGCTCACTCATCCAAGGACCCTTTGATCATGATGTGTGTACTAATACTATGAGTTACTGCTTTTGCTAAGTTTCGATTCCTATTTGAAGAATTGAGTCTGCAAGGCTTGGTTGTTCTTTTGACCACTTGTCTGTGAAGGTTTTGATGCCAATGAAATAAGATTAGGATCCATGTATTTATTGTATAGGATTGACATATCATATTATGTGAATAGGAGGTTTTGATGCCAATGAAATAAGATTAGGATCCATGTATTTATTGTATAGGATTGACATATCATATTATGTGAATAGGAATAAAATATTCTGTAATTATTCTATTGATTGCTTTTTAGCCTATCTAAAGAGAGCCTTGTTGTATAGTTGAAACCCACTGTTTATTTTGGCATGGTATCTAGAGTCTATTGAGATAAACCTAAACCATACTTACCTGGTGGACCAATGATCGCGACTTTCTGAGTCTAACTGAACTAACTGCAAGTGCACAGTCTATCGCGTAGTAATAAAGATATCGATCCCACAGGGACTCGTAATCAATCTAGTGCTATCGAGTGTTACTATGTTTAGCTAAGTTGGAAAAGGTTTTACGGAAGTGCGGAATTAAAGGCTAAATTAAGAGAAAGTTATAATGTTTTTTTTTTTAAAAATAATAATAAGAGAAATCGGTATGCAATACTTTAGTTTTCGGGGATTCGACATGTCACCGGTGCGGTTTAGTATTTTCAAAATAGTTTTCAGGAGAAAATAATCGTTTAAAGACTTTTGTCTCACGTTGGTTGTTGACGCTAGTCGCAACTCTAGGGCGGAATTTATGCTTTCGCTATCCCATTTGGGGTTAAAATCGCTTTTTGAAAACTATTAAGTTCTGATTCCTTTTAAAGCGCTTTCGCTGTATTTAAAATGAATGCCTAGTTTTTACTATCCGGTTCGAACCCCAGCTTTCGCGTGCCGGTTTGTACCTTAATGAATTTCCCACTGTCGTGACAAAACTACTGTAAATAATTTCTCGCTGTCGCGACGAAGATTTATTTAGGAAATTAAATTAAAAACTACGGCCAGAAACATGTTTGAAAAGCAGAAAAACATTGGATGTTATCGAATCCCGTCCTACTAATTTATTACATACCGATTAATGCAGTTTAGCTAGACATGGGATTTAGAACTTGCATAATTGAACAATGGCAGAATAATAAGTAAACATGCATTATAACGGTAATGAAAAACCAATTAATAATAAAAACCTGTAAATAATTCAGCTCTCGGTCCTTGAGTAGTCCTCCACAATGTCAAAGGAAAAGGAAACAAGAACAATATTTGGCTTCAGTAATAAAATTTGGCAGCACTTCGTTATCTTCAATGCGCCCCCCTTTTTCTGGTCCAGGACTCCTCCTTTTATAGCTGAGATTCTCTGCGTGAAGTCCTGAGGAAGTGGAGTTGATGGTGAGACAATATAGGGGAAAACGTTCCACCAATATCTCAGTATTCGTGGACATGTTCTCATTCTGAAGGTTAGTTTGTTTTTGCCTGCATGACGTTCGTGGAGGAGGTGTGACGGTCGTGAGGAGCGTGACGGTCATGATGGGCCTGTGACGGTCGTGATGTCTGTGACGGGCGTCACAAGGGTGTGACGACCGTGACATCAGCAAAATCTTTGTTTTCTGCTATTTCCTGTCTCTTTTCTTCTGTTCTGTGCATTTGATCATGAGTTTTCTCTGTCTTGCTCATTTGGAGTGTGAACTTCATATACATGCAAAACACTTGACAAATAGCTCGGAACAATCTGAAATCGGGGTGAAACCAAACAATAACAGCATAAAAACATGGCATTTATAATATACATTTTCGCGTTATCAAACTCCCCCTAAGCTTGAATCTTTGTTTGTCCTCAAGCAAAAAGTCATTTCTAATCTTTGTTTGTCCTCAAGCAAAAAGTCTAAGAAATGAGATGATGCAGTCACACGGCGCGCTCCTTTGCGTTTTCAAAAATAGCTTTAGAGGCGTTGAGTCGGGAAGTCGGAGACAGGATTAAAACAACACGCATACGGCAATGACACTAAGCGGTATGTGCTCGAAGGCCTCCTTCTTATACGATTCTTCTGTTCTGTGCATTTGATCATGAGTTTTCTCTGTCTTGCTCATTTGGAGTGTGAACTTCATATACCTGCAAAACACTTGACAAATGGCTCGGAATAATCTGAAATCGGGGTGAAACCAAACATTAACAGCATAAAAACATGGCATTTATAATATACATTTTCGCGTTATCAACCAACCCTGGTGATAATTTATTTCGGCAAATCGTGTTCCAACTCTAGTTTGCCCCTTCTTTCCTGTTCTGACCCATTCCAACACTCAATTTCATAACTTTTTGCCCAAAACTGCTGCTGCCACCCACGCCACTAATGCTTCTAACATCTTTACTGGCAACCAACCCCACCACAAGGATCGAGTCTTCTGGACCAGCCCACCCCATCCTCGAAGGCTTTCCGACGCACTCCCGAATGGCTGTTCTCTCTCCAGCACAGTCTAATCTGTGGCTGCTCGCTGGCAGTTTTTCTGACTGGGTCTTTCTCCATCCATTTCTCACTCCTCTTCTTGTTCAAGACCTGCCTTCATTTTGTAGTTTTGGGCCACAGATGCTCCATTGTAAACAGCCTGTTTGGACGCATTCTCTCCTCTTAAAACTGACTCATGGCGTCCGCTGGTACTTCTGATGATCCGAACAACAACGTTGTTGTTTTCACCAACTTTGTTACTTCTCTCCTCTCTATGGGGAGTACAGAGAAATCAGACAGTTCTAATTATGACGCTTGGTTTTCTCATCAAGTTATATTCTTTAATTTCTGGGAGTTAGCATATCATGCTTCAAGCATATTTGTCATAAGGATAACATCCGATCCAGGAAACTGGAAAAACAACATTTCCTTGCATATAAAATGTGTAAATGGTATTAATGGTAGCTGGTCTTATAACCGCTGATGTGAGTTGTCTTATGGAATTGTATCAGAGTTAGTTTTGAACTGGAGCCTGGTGCTACTGGACAAACAACTGATTTTAGAGAGGCAAATAAGAAGCTAGAATGGAGTTTAAAGAAGGTAATATTTCTTATCATTTCTCTAATGTTTTAATTCAAGTCATTAAACATTTTCTTTTGGAGATAACAGTCACTAATAGTGCAACAAAACAGATTAATGGGGGATCGGAGCATACTTTACGTGCAAAGCTAACCTTTTCTCAGGAATCACATGGTATGTATTCTTGTAGTTAGTACATACACTAAACGTATAGTTTACTTTTTCTTTCATTGAATAATTAATATATCAAATGTGTGCAAATTTATTTCTTAACAGGTAATATATCGAAAGAATCTGGACCTGTTAGCATGACATTTACTATACCAATGTACAACGTGTCTCAGCTTCAGGTACACACCATGTCAACTTGCTGCTTTTTTCATATAGTTTTGATTTGACCAAAAACCTTCTCTCGATCTCTTTAATCTGTATATTGAACATTAGCATGGTCCCTCATGTTATATTTTTTTGTTCTCTACTTTATCACATGGCTTCTATTTGCTGTGAGGCTGTGACTTAACAGTTTTGTGAACCCGGTCAAGCTAGTGATATTGTTAGTTAACGCTGAACATGGAACATAATTCATTTTTATAGTAATAATTAAATACTCAATGTTACTCCTTACCATTTTATCGTCTCTCAGCTGAACCACCCTTACTTTTGATCCGACCCCTCCTTCTACCTGTTTTATTCTTTCTGAATCAGTTTAGAGAAACAGACCCATTCGCTTTTTATGGCCTATTATATTTAGGAGTTCGGCTGATATCAAATCAACTGTTTTCTTTATATTCAATTGAAAATTTTAATTTATCGATCCCAAAAAGCTTTTCATCTACATTTTGGGTATTCTGCCTCCTAAAATAAAGGATCCATTTCAACATGCCAAGTGATTAATACATTTCCTAAATGCAGGTAAAATATTTGCAGATAGTAAAGAAATTTGGGACACATGAGCCATATCGGTGGGTTAGATATGTTACACAGGCAAATTCCTATGTTGCTCGTATATGATGCAATTAAGCAAATTCTCTGCTGTTTCTATCCCCTCTCGCTCCTTATTATCCTTGTTTTTGTTTTATTTACTTTATTCTTTATTTATAAACTACATTCAAGTGTAGATGACAGAGTTGTTTGCTTAAACATTCATTACGTATAGCCAGGGGTAAATTTCTTCACAAATGTCATTTTCATTTGCCATGAACGGATAACTCGGTCCTATTATAAAGCTTTTATTTTGTATGAGAACATTTGGAAATATTCGAAAATCTTGTGGAAATTGGTAGTTCAATATCTTTTATTTATTGTGTATTGCATAACGGTTGGAAAGGGCGAGCTTGAGGAACAGGTGGATTAGATTTCAAGCGAGTAACCACTTGGTTTATGCGTGTGCCAACAATTGTTGGATTTAGCAGACTAATCTATCAAAGCATATTAGAGTTACAATAGAGTTTGTTATCAAATTATCCAAGAGAGAGTTCTATTTATAATAAGCATAGCATAACTTGCCACCTCATCATAACACACTCAGAGTTTATTGCACAGATCTCAGTTCAGCATAACTGACTGAGATCTATTATTTAGTCTACTGTCAGCTCAGCATAATTGACTTAAGCCTATTTTCATATTACTACATTACACTCTAATATTTCTCCCTCAAATGGTGCTGCCTGCTGAGGTAAGACACTTTCCTTGTTGGAGTGTGGTTTTGTCCATCACCTTGAGAAAAAATATGTCCAACTCCATGTGCTTAGTTTTGGCCTCACTCGTATTTGTTTTGGTCAATAGATCCTTAATATACTTGGTCTTAGACAGAAATAAACCCCCTTAGGAGTTTTAGAAACTTCAATGCCCATAAAATAGTTAAGAGTGTCAAGTTGTTTTACGGAGAATTGAGCATTGAGTTTGGTAACTAGGCTTTGAATATGGCTTCCTAGTGACAATAATGTCATCCACATAGACTAACATGAAGATAATATATGTAAGCGCAGTCAATGTAAATAGTGAGAGATCACACTTGCTACTAATGAAACCAAACTGATGTAATGCAGTAGAGAGCCTTTCAAACCAGGCCTTCGATGCCTGCTTTAGCCCATAAATAACTTTGTTAAGCTTGCAGACCATGGTACAACCAGGTTGAACAAACCTAGAGGGTTGTTGCCCTCTTTAGTCAAAATGCCATTTAAGAAGACATCTAGTTGGGCGATTCGCCACTGTCTGGATAAAGCTAAAGTTGAAACAATCCTTAACTGTGACTGGTTTGACCACTGATGAGAAAATTTTTGAAAGTCAAAACCTTGAACTTGGTGGAATCCTATGGCCACAAGTCTAACCTTGTATTTTAGAATGGAACCATGAGGATTTTGTTTGATTCTAAAGACCCATTTGCATCCAATGATTCTTCTGTTTGGAGGAAGAGTGGTGAAGGTCCATGTGTTATTGTTTAGAAGTGCATCATGTTCAGCTTTCATGGCTTGAAGGCATTTAAAATGCTTGAGGGCTAGTTTGTAGAATGTTGGTTCAAGTTCAATTAAGAGAAAAGTAGGGTGGAGTCTAGGTTACACAATGCCAACTTTGACCCTTGTGATTATAATGAGAATTTTGGGGATAAAGGTGAGGTGTAGGTGGTTGTTCTAAAGATGAAGCAACTAATGAGTGGTTTAAGGATGAATTTACATTTAAGTGAAGAAATGTAGTATTTGGTAAAGGAGTCACAAAGGTGGAAGATAAAATAACATGAGATTGATGTAGGAATGCATTATGAGAGGTAGTGGGCAAATTTTGTTGTAGAGGAGTTGGAAGTGCCAAGGTATTGTGTTTTGAGGAATGAAGTTCAAGATTGGAAGGGTGGGAAGAATCTAGAGAGAATAAGAGAGGAACTGGGACAAAAATCTGGACGTGGAAGGTGTTAGAGATTGGGTGAATAAAGATGTGTATGGAAACACTGATTTCATTAAAGATGACATCCTTAGAGATGTAGATCTTGCCATTAGGTACCAAACACTTGTGACCCTTGTGGTGTGCAAAATATCCTAAAAGTAAGCACTATTGGTGTAATAGGAAAATTTGAGAGGATTGTAGGGCCTGAGTCGTGGGTAACAGGCACATGCAAAAACGTTGAGAAATTTGTAGTCAGGTTCAGATTGGTATATAATGTTGTAAGGTGACTACATAGCTAAGACAATAGTTGGCATTCTATTGATGAGGTAGGTTGTTGCTTGAAAAGCATAATCCTATAATTTTAGAGGTAGGGATGCATGAGCCAAAAGTGTGAGCCCTGTTTCCACAACATGTCTGTGCTTTCTATCTATAGACCCATTTTAATGATGGGTGCGAGGGCATGTAAGTTTGTGTATAATATCTTATGTAGCAGGTAATGAAGTGAGGGGTTGGAATTCACCTCCTTCATCAATTTGAACTATCTTAATCTGACAGTTAAATTGAGTTTGAACTTTTTGTTGTGCCACTGAGCATATAAAGAAGGACCTATAACTGTGGTATTTTGATTTGTACAGGAATTTAAAATGCTGAATGTAAATTGCCACTAGTGAATATGTGAACACAAGGTGATATACTAGAAGAGTAAGAGGGGAGCATTGAGATTGCCAAATGAGTTTTTGGCCTAGGTATGAAGCCAGGTGAAGGGAAACGCCATTGGGAATGAGACATCCATTATTGTGGCATCTGTGGTGGCAAACTTGTAGAATACCAGGGATTTTTAAAGTTGGATGCATGATGAGGTGGTATGATTGGATTACACCATTGATTAGGTCCATTAGGCGTAATCGTTAGTATGTAGTACCAGACCTTAGCATTATGTCCAATTTTAGCACATATTTGGCACTACACTTTTGCCCTACCACCATTACGACCACTACCTTTAGAGAATCGACCACATCGACCATCGAGATTGCCATCAAATTAAGGTGGAGGATTCGAAACAAATAGTTGTGGCGTTGGATCATAAATAGTTGAAGACGACGAGTCTTGAGCTTGAGGAACCGTATCTTGCATGAAATTGACGGAGAGTGAATCATGAGATACCACATGTGTCAATCGATCCAAACGCGCTTCATGAGATAGAAGCATGGTTTCTGCGACGATGATTTCACACGTTTCATCACAATATTGGATGATAGAAGCAAGCACTTGATACTCCGGTGGCAATCCTTCGACGATTGTCTCAAGTTGATCTCGATGCGAGACTGGATTTTCGATCAATTCGAGAATGTCCATGATCTGTTGGATGCGTCCTAAGTACTGAGCAATTGTACAATCACCTTTCTCCATGCTTTGCAGTTCGTAACGCAGTTGTCGCGTAGATCTAAGTTTGTTGGAACTGATCAATGATTGTACGCACTTCATGTGCATGTACACATTTGACGATGCGTGGCAAGACCGCTTCTAACTGGGTGGTGAGAAGCTAGGTGAAGAGGAGAGAATCTTCTTGATGTCATTGCAAAAAAAAGCATGCTGTTTATTACTTGAGCAAAAAGTTTATTGATTTTGAAACCAAATATTCACTCTTGGAGAAGACTTGTTGCGCTCTAGCATAAGCCGCCAAACGTCTCAGGAAATACATGGTTCTGCTCAGATGTGTGGATAGACACGAAGCAGACCTATTAATCAAAGAGATTCATGAGGAATCCTTTGGAACCCATACCAATGGGCATTCCATGGCTAAGAAGATCTTGAGACCTAGTTATTACTGGTTAACCATGGAGTTTGACTTTTTCAACTATGCTAGAAAATGTCACAAGTGTCAAATTTATGCTGACAAGGTGCATGTGCCATGAATGTTGTTGAATGTTTTGACATCACCTTACCCATTCTCAGTGTGGGGAATTGACATGATTGGTGCCATAGAACCCAAAGCTTCTAATGGTCACCGCTTCATTCTGGTTGCAATTGATTACTTCACCAAATGGGTAGAAGCCGCTTCCTATGCCAATGTGATAAAACCAGTGGTTGCCCGTTTCCTCAAGAAAGAGATTATTTGCCGCTATGGGAGAAACAAACTTGGTTTATAGCTATCAGAGAAACAAACTTGCCATAGAAAGCGGTGACCAAGGCAGGTACAACAGGTGGAAGAACATGGAGAACGAGCTTGAGCATATGTGCCAGTGTGCATATGATATTAGACTTGCACATTTGCAGGTGTAACTACAGGTGTTGCTGATAATATGTGTGATAACAACTAGAGCTATTAGTGATGTGATGCTATAGAACTAGGAGCTCTGTGCTGAAGGAGCTAAAAGCTAAACTTGTGTGTGTCTACATGATAGTAGCAGAATATGCTGTGCATCCCTTCAGGGGGAGTTGCACAAGTGTGTGTGATTGTAGCACAAGTTTGTGTGACTTCAGGGAGTCAGCCTGAATGTCAAGACATCCAGAGCAGACTGGATAAATATGAGTGACTACTGTGTGTGCAGGTGAAGTGTTTAACTGATAAGATGCATCAGTTGAGGGAGAGTAACCTAGTGTGTTACTCAACAAAGAGTGACATATGTAGTGGTAACTAACAAATGGTTAACAAGGTGAGTCATAACAGTGAAAGATAACTGTAAGGACTCAGAGAGGCTTGAGCTTATAACTATCCTGCATGACAGGACACATCATAAGTCTTCTGCTGTGTGTAAACTCTGATATGTTAACAGGTTGTTTTAGCCAAACATTTGCCAAAGGGGGAGTTTGTAAGTGCTCTTGATTGGCTGCATTGTGTGGCAAAACTTTAGAGTGTGCATGTATGTCATACTGAATGTTAGGACATACTTAATGATGTATGTGCAGGGTAAGTTAACTTAGTTAAGATGAATGTCATACAGAATGTCATAACACTGACCGTATGACATCCAGCGGGCAAGTTTGTTTCTCTGGTAGCTATAAACCAGGAAACAGAATAGGAGCTCAAGCTGGATATCAGGAGATTTTCTAGAAGCCCTAGGCGAACTAAAAGATCCCTGAATTAAGTGGCAAGCGTGCAGATCATTGAAAATAGGTTTGGTATGGATAAA